ATTACCCCCTCCTATATAAAGGGGACCCTTGTCATTTTGTAAAGGGACATGATGAATATTGAATACAATAGAATTCTCTGCTTTTCTTACCAAAACATGCTCAACAATTACTCTATAGATTTATTACTTGTTCATTTATTGTTCTTCATTTATTGCCCATTATTAACCACAAAAGGCTACCTTTGAGGCCTTCATTGTCATTGTTTCTTCATTAGTTGTTCATTGCTAACTGCCCTAACTAGACCTCAAAGCCCCTGTTCCAGCCAGCTCGAGGCTCAGTCTTGCGATAGCATTAGTTCGCATATCTTATTCTCTTTACTTATACTTAGCATCTATTGCCTAACAACTGGTATTGAAATAAATCACATATTTTTAGAACCACAAAATCAAATATAATTGTTAACACCATTTTCAAGGTAAACATTTCCCACTTTCTTGGATTATTTCAAACTTGCATTAATATAATAGCAATTTTTAATTAAACATAAATTCTGAAGGGCAATTTTGTCTATAACTAAGCTAATGCATGCATTAAAACTCATTGTATTGTTAATATCATGGTTTCTTATGCATTAGTTATGTATAACTAATGCTTGCATAACTAATGCATAGGTTCAAAAAGTGCAAAAAAAGTATTATTAAGATACAAAGTTAATACATATATTATTTTATCTAATGCATCTTATCAAACGATCCATTAGTGTGTAAAGAGGTCCTTTCGCATAAAAGAATTGTTTAGCAAAATGTGCACTTTTGGCTAAAGAAACTACAACGGTAGAATTCTATTTAAATGCAAATCGTATTTTAAGTGCAATTTACACGTGTTCATCACAAATTGAGCAAATAGAGGGGTCGGAGATGCCTTTAGTAAATTTCGTTTATCAAATAAGATTTTTTTAATTGCTCTCGGAATTACTTCAACGTCGTATTTTCCGGACTGCTAATATAACCAGGGAAAGTTCTTGTACCTATCTAATACTAGTCAGAGGTTGCCCGGACTGTGCTCGGGCCCAAGAACCATACTAATTTTTTATTTAACATAAAAAAAATTTGTTTACGGGTCATAAAATAAAGTATATGATGTTTAAATTCGACGATTTTTTTTGCTGCGGGTCCGTAATTACGTTACTAATCTAATAATTCAATTAAAAAAGAAATCGGAACTCATTTGTTGTGAAAGATCTATACTATTTGATTCAAGATATTTCAAAACTAAGAATACAAATTGATTACCTTTTAAGCTACATCAAAAGTCAAATCGAAATGAAACTAATTAAAAATATACATTGTGGATGTACTTTTTGTTGCCGCAAGTCTACCAGCTCCCTGATAGTTGTGTTCTTAGGAAGCAAAATATATCACTATTTTTTTTTATTATTCTAGCTTAATTATTCACGTCCTTAATGGTTTTTTATATTGTTAATCTTGTTTGACTATTGTGTGCTCATACTATTTCGTTGCCTGAATGTGTTACATGGTATCTTAACTGGTCAAAGTTGTGAGAACACTAATTGTGTAATGTGGGCAGTGGGGAATGGGGAAAGACTTAGCGCATTAGTGATTAAGTCACTTGGCATATACCTTGTTACTTCTCAGAAACCCCTATTATATTGATTTAGGCACTCAATTTTTTTGTCCTTGAGTGCATTATCGCTCTCGGTTCAAGTAGAGTTCTTACTTTAGAAATACCATGTGAAATTTTAGTTTTACCTTATTTGATTTTTGAGCTACGTGACATTTTTCTTCTTGGGTGTTTGATCAATCTCGACTAAGTTGTATATTTGGATTGAGTCCATCTGTGTCTCTCATGTTTTTTTATTTGAATCATAAATAAATATGTAATCTTTTTTTATTCGGATGATCAAGTATTTTCTTAAAATTCAGTGATCATGAATAATCAAAGTTGTCTTACTTTTTTTCTTCTTGTAAATTCTCAATAATTACATAAAAAGTCAAACTTAACTATACTCTTAAATAAGGTAATTTGATCTGTAATTCAAATAGAGAGCTGGTTATTGAATGATAAATTAAATTGGGGCTCACATGGTCATGATAAACATCAAAAGGCTGCTAATGGAGCCCGCATTACAGTACATTTGTTGACATCAAATATGAAAAGGAGGCACTCAAGTGGGGCCCATAGGGACAAAGCAAGCCCACTACAACATTTAGTATATCATCATGAAAGCACAAAAATTTAAGAAATACCGAAAATACCATCATGAGCAAGCTAGCATGTTAATGGAGAGCTGCTTAACTTCCACTTATAGAATAAAAAATAAGTAGAATATATACAAGAGCGGCATGATAAATTTATATTTGAATTGAAATGGGTAGTAGGCTAGTAGCAGTCTTGGTCTCCAAATTTACCCATTTAACCCATTTGTGTCTTATGTGTACATGCTTATTCTGTGAAAATAGCACAGGCTAGCCAGTTTTCGGATTGATAATTGAAAAGTAACCAGCATTTGTCAAGTTATTGAAAATAGCAAGTATTATGCTGCAACACGGAAAGTCCCAGCATAATATACTGGAGATTTATGCACATGTGTATCAACTTCCAGCATATTATGCTGGAACTCCAATACACGGAAAGTTCCAACATAATATACTAGAGATTAAAGCACTTGTGTATGAACTTCCAGCATATTATGCTAGAACTCCAGCACACGAAATGTTCCAGCATAATATAAGATTGGAGCACCTGTTTATAAATTTTTAGCATATTAACTGTAACTATTTTTTAATTACCACTTGTAAATCTGGCTAAAATTCTCCTGCTTATTCTTGATCCGTTTGGAGAAGTCAAAGTCTTTATTTATCAAAGAATATAATCATAGGCTCTTTAATTTGTTGGTGACAGTCAGTAATACAAACTTGCCAATCAATATATATATATATATATATATATATATATATATATAACAACTCTTAAATATATTTTTTGAGATACAATTTCTAATTTCGCCTATAAATATATTTTTCTTGTACTGAAACCTAGCTACAAAGTTAGGGAATATGAGAAATATTAGTAGTTTAATTGGTTGACTACGTGAATTTTGATATCGTTGTTGAGAGTTCGATTCTTTCCCTAGCATATATTCCTCTCCGGTGGAGGGCCTCCACCATTTTCCGTATGTATAAATTTTTCTTTATGGAAAAAGTTAAAAAATCTATAAAAATGTATAATTGAGATTTATAAAGCGCACTTTATAAAACGCAAACGAGCTTTTGTTTTTCATGGTCAAAACAAATTTTTTATTCAATTAGAAGTAAGCATTTACAAACACGTCCTCATTGGGCACTAGACAGAATCAATGCTAATACTGATCTGCTAAGCTATCTTATGCTAATACTTCATAGTACTAAGAGCCCATTTGAATTAGGTGATTGTAAATAACTAATAAGCTTGAAATGCTGAAACTGATTTTTAAAATAAGTATTTACGTGTTTGGATGGAAGTGTTGAAACTGATAATAAGCAGTTGATGTGTTTGATTAAAAAGTGTTGATAAGCTATTCTTTTATTTAAATGACGAAAATACCCTTGAATTTTTTACAAAAGATTATAAATTAAATTTTTTTTTGTAAAAAAAAAAAAATTAACAACAAATATAGAATGAAGAAAAAGTCAAGAAATTTATTTTAGGAAAAGTATTTTGTGAATTAGAAAGTATTATTAAGGATATAAGTTGAGGGTGGTAAACTTAGGGAGAATTACGCTCCTTGTCGCTTGGCCCAATAGTCCATCAAAAAATTGGCCCACGTTTGAAGCCCTTACCTGATATGGCCCAGGTTATACATAATCTGAAAATTATTTTTCACCAATAGCCTACCCTATTTTTTTCTTTTCTTCGTTCTTCTTCTTCCTCTTTCACGACTTTGCACCCCAAAGTTTCTCTACCATTATATATATTCTTCAATTCTCCTTCCAGATTCAAAATTGATAATCACTATTAAGATGAGAAGAAAAAATACCACTTAAGAGAATTATTATTTTTGGAGTCACCATTAAAGGTCATTCGAAGATTCAATTTCAGAAATTGAATTTTTCGATTTTGTTAGTTGTTTGGATTGGGTGTTGGCTCAATTGATTGGGATCGTCAAGGGGAGTTCAAAACTCAAATTTGAAGTGATTTGGAGCAGATTTGAGGTAGATTTGAGTTGAATTTCAGAAGATGCCCAAAGAAGAAGAAGAACCAATGAAGCTCCATTAATAGGATTCATTTGTATAATAGTGTATAATATTGTATAAGTAATGTATAATAGTGTATAAACACCTCTTATACATTATTTTATACAAGGCTGATACATTATTTACAGGTGTTTGGTGGATTTCTCACATTTCTTCTTCTTCTTCTTCTTCTTCTTCTTCTTCTTCTTCTTCTTCTTCTTCTTCTTCTTCTTCACCTATATATATGGTGTATCACTAACATTTTCACTACTGTGCTTATACATTTTTATATATACATTTTTATACACTTTTATACAACTATATATATAATATACCTCTTTGTATAAAAATGTATAAGCATCTCTAACGAATTTTTTGTACGATTTTCAATTGCAATTCTTGATTAAGACTATTCCAAATTTTCACTAAATGACTTCAAACTTTGTATATAGTCTACTTAGACTAATTTTAATAAGTTCAAATAATACACACTCCAAATTTCTCATAAAATCATATTCAAAAACTAACAAGATTAGCATTAAAGAAGATGAAATTTTAGATTTCTCGCGTCTGTTTGTGAATTTTCGTAGTTGAGATAAGTATGTAGAAACTTGAGGAAAAAGGAGAATGGAAATATTTCACGCTTGAAGATATAGAGAATAAAAAAACTGGAAAAAAAATTCAGATCTAAACTTATTGATATTTGACTATACATTTACAAATTTGTAAGTGGGCTAAAATAATGCAAGGTCGTGCATCTTATTGACTTACAAGCACTTTAACTATTTACCAAACATATAAATAAAGGATAAGGTGCTTGTGAGCTTTGACTATAAGCTCAAGCCACCAAACTCTTGGAAGGGATCAGTTATAGGTAATAGCAGAAGAGTGCTACTATCAAATTGCTTTATACAAAGGTGTCTTTGGCCTCAACGTTACGCATATGAACCGCAGTTTGCAGATGGATTGTTTTGTAACGCGACGCATTTTGGGGAAAAAGTTCCGCCTAAAGAGTGAACTCGTCGTCTTTTACTTCCGCCTAAAGAGTGAACTCGTCGTCTTTTACATACTCAAATCCCTCTATTCCCTTTGAAGCTATGGAAGCGAGCTTCTTTCATTCTTGAATAAAGGTAAATCTTTAATCCCCTCTACATCCATTCCTATTTTTTTTTTCTTTTTTCTGTAACAGTTTCAACCTCAAAAATTTAGGATTCTCTAAAATGAGTTCAATTTTCAGAAGAAAAGATACATTCTTGAAGCTAATTCTTGGAAAAACCTACCAAAACCCTCAAAAAATATTTATTCATCTTCCTACGTCTATAAATCAGAGGCCCTTTTCAACCCAGTCGCCAAAAAAATTCCCTGAGTATGAAATGCCTTCAGTGACATGGGGAATATTGCAAAAGAATAAAGAAAAACTTGTCTCAAGAGTTATAATTTCTGACTATTTAAAAAGTATAGGCATAGTCACTAATGAATTAGAGGATCAAGAATTGCCATCTACAGTTGAAATCATGCGTGAACGTGTCGAATTTCTGCAGAATATTGGTTTAACAATTGATGATATCAATGAGTATCCCTTAATGCTTGGATATAGTGTGAGGAAAAATGTAATCCCTGTTTTGACATATTTAGAAAAAATAGGGATTCAAAGGTCAAGTCTTGGTGAATTTGTTAAACGTTATCCACAATGTTTGAATGCTAGTGTTGTAGTGGAGCTCGTTCCGGTTGTCAATTTTTTACGGGGGCTTGATGTCGAGAAGCTTGATATTGGATATGTTTTAATGAAATACCCAGAGTTGTTAGGGTTTAAGCTCGAGGGAACGATGAGTACTTCAGTAGCTTACTTGGTCAGTATAGGGGTTAATCCGAGGGATATAGGGCCAATGGTAACACAATATCCATATTTATTGGGGATGAGAGTTGGGACCATGATTAAACCGTTTGTGGACTATTTGCTTTCGTTGGGTTTGCCGAAGAAAATTTTAGCAAGGATGCTCGAGAAACGGGCGTATCTGCTTGGATATGATCTTGAACAGACAGTGAAAGTGAATGTAAATTGCTTGCTTAGTTTTGGAATTAGGAGGGAAGCTCTGCCTTCTGTTATTGCACAATATCCGCAAATTCTTGGTTTGCCTTTGAAGGCTAAGCTGTCATCACAACAGTATTTCTTTAAGTTGAAGCGCAAGATTGATACTGATGGGTTTGCTCGTGTAATTGAGAGGATGCCGCAAATTGTTAGCCTTCAACAGCATGCTATATTGAAACCTGTAGAGTTCCTTCTTGGGCGGGGTTTTTCAGCTGATGATGTGGCTAAGATGATTATAAAATGTCCTCAGTTAGTTGCTGTACAAGTTGGCTTCATGAAAAATGGCTATTACTTTTTCAAGAGTGATATGGGCAGGCCAATGGAAGAACTTGTGGACTTTCCGGACTATTTCACTTATAGTTTAGAATTAAGAATCAAGCCGAGGTACCAGAGGTTGCAAAGCAAGGGAATCAAATGTTCTTTGGCTTGGTTTCTCAACTGCAGTGACCAAAGATTTGAAGAGAGATTGTATGGTGATTATATAGTGCCTGAAAGTTCCGGTCCATCATTTTGTATGGGTGGGAAGTTAGAAATGGCAGGCAGTGATAATGTATCAGAAGAGGAGGAAAGTGATGATGATTCACTTTATAGACGCACTGTCTCTTTGTAGGAACTTTGTAAGTGAATTGGGCATAAATTATGGTATCTTTCAATATTAGTTGAAGTCTTCAATAATTTTCTCTTTTTTTACTGCCTCTCTGACTTATTATATATATCCCCCACACAGCATTTTTAACTTCTATTGCTATCAATTTCTCCAATGGAGTAGATTTTAACTGCTTGTGTTTGTTTCTTTCTCAAGTTCAGTATTTTGGACCATCTTTAGAAGAGTAAAATGTAGGAAGTCTTTTGCTTATCATATTGGTGAATGTCTTTGTTTCAGGCTTAAAATCATTGACAAATAACAGCTTATGATGTTTGCTTAACATCCTAGCCTTTTAACCTGAACTGAGATATTTTCTAGCTCCATGTAAGGAAACTTCTCTTATCTTTTATACATGTTAGATTTTCGCCTTCCTACATTATACTCTTCTACATATTGGTATATTGTCCAGTCTCATATGAGAACAATGATCTTTCAGAGCTATTAAGTAGACTATGCTCTTTAATTTCTGTTTCAGATTTAAAGTTGTTGAAAAATCACAGTTGTGATGTTTGCTTAGCTTACTAGCTTTTTAATTCCTGAATTGAGAAATTATGTAGCTCGAACAGGGTACTTTCTGTCAATTGAAGGCAAAAATGTTATCAAATGTGTGATAATGCTTTAGAAATCTGCAAATCGAAAATTAGCAACTACGTGGGCTTGGGTTCTACAAGCTGGTGAGAGCAATTATAATTACTTCGAGCCGTTCTGTGTGAATTATACTTTGTAGATGGTGTTCCTGCCATTGACTAATAGCTCTCACCCTTTGGTGATATGCTATTTCTATCATGCTAACTTGCAGCTCACTCATGCATTAATTTTCATTGTATTAGGCTTGTCAATAGGAAGGAGTACCTCCTGTTTATTCGAGTGGACCGTGTAGGGCCCAATCATAGTCACAATTACAAAAAAGAAGCCCCATGGTCGCAAACCCCTAGAAGGCAGGAAATTCTTCAGTATCTTGTATTTCGCATGATTGATAAAATAATAGAGTAGTTAGTACGACCAAGTTGAGCCATATTCTGTGGTCTTATTTTGAAGTTTTGTGCTCCCGTGTCCTAGTAGAACACATCTTCTAGTTGAAATCATTCAGATGCGAAGTATTAAAATGTGGTGAAATAGAATTGAGCATGCAAAAAGCTGAATTATTCCTATCTATTTTGGTGTTTATTATCTACTATAGTACTAAATTTACTGTTGGTTGCAATTTTTTCTTTTATTGCTCTATATTGCAGCAGATCTGGAGTGATCAATGTTGCAAATGGAAGTTGATGGCTTTGCAGTTATGTTATTCCTTTCTATGATAACAGTGTAGGTTAGGTGTTTTTTTCAACTATGAACTTGAAACTTTTCAGGGAGAAGTGTCTTCTCTAAGCTGTGAATTTATCTTACCGGCCATGTTTGTGAAGCAATACACCAGCTACATCCATGTCTGCTGAGGAAAAAATGATTACATATAATTTTTATTTTTTGTCTCTTTCTATCCACAGGCCTGGTGATGTGTCTTTCAACAAAATATCACTAGGGTACAGCTTTTGTCTTTTGACTGGATATCTTATTATCCAAGATTCCAAGTTTTTACACACTGACATTGCAATAAGTAGCAGTATTCTCTTCCAATGGTATGATGCATGTATCCTCCACGTTTGTCTCGTAGCCCCATTTGACTTGGAAACCTGAGTCTTGCATCCTCGAAATGCTTCATTAGTTCTACATATTTCCATTTGTAAGCATCCACCTCCCTGCCCCGGCTGGTAATAAGGTCAGTAATTTGATCACAGCAAGTTTCAAGTGAAGTTTAGCAGTTTGTAATTGTGAGCTGTGTACTTTTTACTGCTTTAGCTTCTGTTCTTTTCTTCCTTAATGCCCACATTAAGCAGGCAGGAAAAAGACTTGATAGAAGGCTGCATGAGTGGTCAGAAGTCGGTGGTATTGGCAAGGTACTTAACTTTGTGAATTCTTTATAGGGGCATGACAGGTGATAGTTTTTTTTTTAATCTTGTGATGGCAACAAAGTGGGGTTATTTTGATCTTCAGTATTGTATCCATTTTTCTTATTTACCGGCCTCCATGTATCTAGCTTTATCAGCAAATGAATATGTTGAATGTGTGATATGAAACTTCCAAAAATTAGTTGAAGAAAAAGTTCCAGAGGGTAGGTTCCGTTTCAAAAACCCCGAACATGCCTCTCCTTGGCTTCCTAACTGCTACCTGCTCATCCTCTTTCTCCAACCCCTCTCCTCTCCTTCTTTCACCCAACTCAACTCAAATTTAAGGTCATCCTATTCCACCTGTTCTGTTGTAGTTGCTACATCTCTCCATACTGAGAGAGAGAGAGGTTTTCTTGTTCCTTCTGCTGTTCTGCCAGTTGATGAAACACTTATTACTCAACCCAAGCAGTTAAGCAGATAGGAAGGAGAAAAAGAAAGCTTTTGCAAATTTGACTCACTCATAATCTACAAGAAAATAATGAAGAAAGATAGATATTTCTAGCTTGTATCTTTTTAAAAGGGATTTTTTTTCATACCTATACATTATTTGAAACTTTATTATCCTTAATGTCCATATTTAGTTAATTACCCGGCATAACCAAGTTTTATTTACAAAATATATACAATCCACCTTAAAAGGCTCCCAAATCCATTATTTGTGCCTTCAATCAAGGTATTTACTTACACGCTTTTCCTTTTTTCTCTCCTCTCTCCCCTCTTCTCTCCATATTGAACTTATATTTAGGGATTTAGAGAATCTAATACCTCAGATCTCGAGTATCATGAAAATACTCAAAGAATAACGCTGTTTTTTTTGTTTTTTTTATTTTTGTTTTTATGTGATCTTTGGCATTATTTTCTCAGGCATTATTTTTGGTTTACTACCCAGTTAAAGTTAAGAAGTTCAAATCAAATCCCATACCGAACAAAACATATATAGATCTTAAAACTGATTACAGAATTATTAACAAGTATATTACTTTCGGATCATCGGATCATGAACTAAGTAGTAATCTAATTTTAACAGATCACTACACTTACTGTTGAGCCACAGAGGTAGATATCACATAAAGGAAGAAAAGATCATTCGTGTTGCAACAGAGTTTGATATATAATATACACTAGTGGGATTGTGTCGTTCTTAATTCTTAAAAGAAATGGGATATCTAATCAATGCTTAATGACTAAATGCAGTTTCTTACACATGTGAGTTAAATTAGTTTTGACCAATTTTCGAACTTACTTACTCTTACTTGTCGTATGTTATAAATAATGTCTCAGCCCTCAGGCAATAAAATAAGAAAAAAATAGATTGAAACTTTTGGATTTTCTGCTAGTACTATAATTTATCCACCTAGTACTCAAGTTACCTTCGACGGATGCCACAATAACAAGAATAACAAGTAACTAAACAAGATTTAGTTTCCATTGTTTGTAACCGACTCGAAGCTTCCAATTCAATCCTTTCCTTACTATTATTGAGACAGAATAGGACATAAAGTATAAGGACAATCCAGAACACTCACTAAATTTATCAGATATCATAATGAAGTATGAAGCATTTGGATTGATCATAGAACAGAAAACAGAGGGAAAATTATCAACAATTCTAGTTCAACATATTTTTGGATTATACAATTCTACAACTAATTATATATTATTGTATGTGGCAGAAGGCCTAATTTCTTGCTATCAAGTCACTTCGGAAGAATATCTCGAGACCCCGAGGACGTGGAGTTGCGACCGAGTCCCCTCTCTCGGGGCTCGTCGAGGCCCGACCCAAAGAAGACGAAGATCGAGGCTAGAGTAAAAAGGGGAATTCCCAAGGCACGCGGCTAAGTCTGACAGAGCCGACCTAACCAGAGCCTGTGTCGAGGCGTCACGTCTAGCCGTCCCATCTCCATGCTTTTATAATTAATGTATGTTGTACTATAAACCGGATTCCCTTCCTATATAAAGGGAATCCACACCACTTTGTAAGGGGCTGTTGTTGCTTCAACCATTCTACACAAGATCAATAATATCTCTCTCTTTTCTCTCTAACTTACTTGCTCGAGGCTACTCTTTCCATTTTTTTCTTTCATACTTGTTCTTCATTTATTGTTCGATATTGGCCATTAAGAGCCTTGTTTAATTATTTCTTAATTGTTATCCCCTTCCCGGCTACCCTCGATAGCTCGAGCTAGAGCCGGATATAGACCGCAAGGCCTTTCATCGACCAGTTCGAAGCCCGGATAGCAAGCCCTTCAGTTTGATCATTGCCTCGTTTTAACTCGTATTTCACCATTAAACTTCATACACCCAGTATCAACTGCTCTAACAACTAGCATAAAAATAGATCACATATTTTTAGAGTCTCATTTACAAATTTAATTGTTGTTACCATTTTCACGGTAAACAATTATACAACTTATCTACAACTTTCACACATTATTTCTACTCAGTTAAATACAACTACAATAACATACAACTTAAACACAAATTTTATACAAAATTTATACAATATGTCTTTTGTATATTTTGTATCTGATTTATACATAGTAAAAATAAATTTCATACAACTAATTATATATTATACAAAATATCTACAACTTATCTGCAATTTTCATACATTATTTCTACTTAGTTATATACAACTACAATATCATACAACTTAAATATAATTTTTATACAATATTGTTCAACTTTCATACAATAGTTAAATAATATATATATATGTATGTAATAACATAATACAATTTTTCTACAATTTTATTACAATTTCGTAAATATAATGTATATGATGTCTTCTTCTTCGAGTTTCAATCTGAAATTCAGCTAAAATCATGTCTAATCTTCACCAAAACTCCCTCAAAATTGAGATATAAACTCCAAACCATATCCCCAATTGCTTGCAACAACACTCAATCCAAACAAAGAATGGTTTTTGAAAACTCAAATTCGAATTCAAAGTTTCAAAGCTTTTTAATGGTTGTCAATGGTGGAATTGCTGCTTTTTTTCCTTTGCTTTACATTACTGAAATTAGGGATTGAGAGATAGAGAGAGACGTAGAGAGAATTCTCAATTCTTTGCAACAATACCCAATTCAATCAAATAATATTTTTTGAAAATCGAAATTCGAATTCAACGCTTCAAAGCTTTTTAATGGTTGTCAATGGTGGAATTGCTGCTTTTTTTCCTTTGCTTTACATTACTGAAATTAGGGATTGAGAGATAGAGAGAGACGTAGAGAGAATTCTCAATTCTTTGCAACAATACCCAATTCAATCAAATAATATTTTTTGAAAATCGAAATTCGAATTCAACGCTTCAAAGCTTTTTAATGGTTGTCAATGGTAGAGTTGCTGCTCTCTTGTATAAGATACGTGGGGAAAGGAGGAGGGGTGGGATGTGGAGAGAGAAACGTGAGGAGAGTGGGATTTGTACGTTCCTTTAATATAGGAATTGATTAATTATCCTTAAATCCTAAAAATGTACATAATTAGTAATTTTGTATATAGGAGGCAATTAAAGTGAAACTTGAGTAGGTATGGTAATAAAGTTTCCAATAGTGTATAGGTATGTAAAAATCCCTGTTAAAAATGCTTGACTTTGCGGTCTAACCTTCCAACTTTTTTCATTTTTCTTTTTCCTGTTTTGAATTAGGGCATGAATAAATAGGAAAAGAAAAGATAAAACACGAAAATAATTTTGATGTGAAATCTTACACTTTAAATTGGTATAGAGTAAATATGTAACCATTAAACCAATAAACACAAACTCCTATATTAAATATGTCAACATTATTTTTTTTATATGTATAATTGCGATATTAAGGCCAACTTGCGCGTACATCGATTGATTCTACAGGATACCTGGTACTTTACATAAGTATAAGTATTGAGGTAACTTTGTCCACCGTAAATTGAATTGATGGAAAAAAATTACCTAGTACTTTACTTTTATTGAAATTTAAACATGAGAATTCATGATACTTATCCCCAGTACATTAACTAATGGGCCCCGCCCTTGCACGCACATATCAACGTTATTGATTGCAGACCTTTGAATCACTTTTGGCTGATATCTTGAGTTGTTTTGTCAATGGCATGGATTCAAGTTCCAATATTGAAAGATGGTTTCAAATGCTTGATAATATTGAAATTTCCTTACCTTGGGCTACCTGCTACTTTTACTCGCGGTCGTGGGGTAAAAATTGTACTTGGTCGCCCCATTTAAACTATACCCATTTTTTTAAAAAGTTTTAACTTCTACTCACTTTTTAAACAACTTCAGCCCCCTTTCTCCTCTTTCTTCTCCTCCTTCGTTTTCTTCTTCTTTCTTCTGTTGCTATTGGTGTTGCTATGAAACTTCAGTTCATGGGATGATTGCCATAAATATGTTTATCAGATTATTTAAAAATAAATTATAAATAATTACGTAAGTTAGTAGACAATAATTTGTGAATATTTCCACGTACGTAAGTTAGTAGACAATGATAATTCTGTTCTTCACGTTTATTGTTTCCAAAATTTATGATTTAGATACTTTTGGCAATCTGATTATTTATCTAGTATGTTAGAAAGCTTTTTCAAAAACTTAAGCTTATATGGTGCTGAAATTTTTACAAATGAACTAAATAACTTCAGCATCTTCTGTTGAAGTTTTTGAAAAGGCTTTATGACAAAACCAATGAATCTAGGACAAAAAAAACTCCAGCTTTTAGTGCTGAAGTTTTTAAAAATGAACTAAATAACTTCAGCATCTTCTACTGAAATTTTTGAAAAAGCTTATTCAGGACAAAAAAACTTCAGCTTATTTAGTGCTTAAGTTTTTATAAATGAACTAAATAACTTCAGCATCTTCTACTGAAGTTTTTGACAAAGCTAATGAATCTAGGAAAAAAATTCAGCTTATTTAGTGCAATACAAACAAAAACTTCAGCAAATAGAGAACAAAACTTCAGCTATTATGCTTAAGTTCAGCAATTACAAACAAAAACTTCAGCAAATAGAGAACAAAAATTCAGCACACTTGCTACTTCAGGCCCGTCTACTTGAATGCTGAAGTTTTGCGTGATTGTCTT